AACTCTGGGGAGACCCCAGACACAATTTTTTGGGGAAAGAGGGGGGTTTTGGCATTATGAGGCAGAGCTCCTGCCGCAACATCAGATCCCATTTTTGTTGGTATAGGTGGCCTGGGTACTCTGTAGCAGTGTCCCTTGATGGTCCCTGTATACAATCACGCTACCTATAGTCTCCATCGTAGTTCCTTTTTGAGGATACCTGATGAAATCCTTAATATATAATTGGTAAAACTCAAAGAAGGAACTACAATGGAGACTATAGCTTTTCTCGAACCCAGCAGGGCCTTCTTGTCATGAATTACCGCCCTCTATCCGCCACGCTGCACCGTAATCCTACCCCCTCCCCCTCCACCACACACACACACACACGCACGGCTACGAGCTTTGAACCCGAATGTGCAAGAGGCAGTTTCTATAAGATTCATTCAAGGTTTCGGGGAAAAGGGTTTCGGGGTGAGAGAAGGAGCGTTCACGTTTCCGGTTCTGGCAGAACAGAAAGAAGCGAATGATATGTACTCATTTGTTGGATATCTCCAGTGCGTGCTCTGAACTGCTGACGCTATGCCTGCAAGCCCTACAGTCTGCATCCAAAGCCTGAATTAAGCCCCAGACCTTAAATCAGAACATCTTAGACCCTCAGCCGTTGGCTTTAGCCCCACGAGGCGTTGCACGCTTCCACCACACGTGGCTTAACTCGATCTACCTCAGCTGCCTTCTTATGTTCTTGAGTTTGCTTTAGGGCTCTAGGCCCTAGGCGGTTCCTTGGCTGACCACGAAGTGGTTGCCATTTTCCTTTCATTGGCAGGAGTTCTCCGTAAGGGGAGTTAGCTGTTAAATTTCTTCCGTAAAACCTGTCATGCCCAAAATTCGAAACCCCTTTCCTAAACCCTTGCAGCAATACTCCAATTAAACCCCAGGCTCTGCACCGACTTTTTCCAACAATACAGATGCCTACCCTTACAGGTATACTGTTAAGCATCTGTTAAGCCTCACGCGGTGAACCGACCTTTCAATTACTGGTAACTGCAAAATAATGCAAACACACATCCTTAATATGCTTCTAGACTTGACATTATGCAACGGAGCATTGAGGGTATTTACCATTCGGGTCTAAGTTATACACCAAAGTTCGCAATTCATAGGTTCGCTTGGAGGGTAGTGGACAGAGATAGGAGACGCCAGCAACAAAATCATACTTGTGGTCTTTGGACAATTTCCTTGACTTCGCCGCGAAAATTCCTCACTTATTCGTGATGACTGTTAATCCACGACAAGTCTAGAGCTTTTTCGTTCGGCAGCATGTCGCCGCGAAAATGGTAAGTAGCTATGATCATTATTAGTATCCTTGTTACTACTTATAAGTATTATTATCATAGCACGGGTTGCTGTGGAGTCAGGGGGACAGATCCTGCTGATGTTCACCCGGTCCAAAGGGCTTGAGATCGAGATTCCTTGCACCTGGACCTTTGATTTCATCAACATCGAAAGTTTGTTTTTTGATTTTGCAAGTCTGGTGCAGAGTTTATAGGAGGATTGACTTACGGTTGGGAGTAATAATTTGCGTTGGACGAAGCAGCGGTAGTTTTAGTCATGCCCACGGCAATGGGACTGCCTAAACCCTAAACCCTAAACCCTAAACCCTAAACCCTAAACCGTTTACGGTATCTTTGCCTTATCTGGGCCCATGTCCCCAGATTTATCATTGCCGCCTCGGGGCTCTCCCATGGTGTAAGCCCGAGTGGGAGGGCCCTGAGGTATTTTGCACGGTTCCGTGTGGTGGCGACCGACCCCTGCAGAGTCTTGTGATGCCTTAGGGTTTAGGGTTTAGGGTTTAGGGGTTCAGGGTTTAGGGTTTAGGGATGAGGATGTCTTCTAGGTTCCTGAGTAGTACCCTTTTGCCCTTTTTATTGTATGGTTCCCAAATCAAAACTGAACAACAGGAAAAAGGGTACCCTTATTAAGAAGGGGTTGAGTCAGGAACGCAGTCTTAGTCTTGAGAACGTCAAGTCCGCCACGACTACCAAACTCCACCTGCTCTGCACGCCTTTCCTCGATGCTTGCTGTTTCATTTTGCTGCGTATAGAGTCCACAGCATTAGCGGAAGTATTCCTTTGAAATTTTGGCAACACTTACACTATGAAATCTGGCTACAGCCCGTCTTGGATTCGGAAGTTTGTCCCTTTGTATGAAATGTGCAACTTGGTTGAAACAGCCAAACTGTCATAGCAAGAGGCATGGGACCTAGATCACTCTGCTGTCTATGGTCTGTGGACCAGCCAGTGCACATGCAGCACCCTACCTATAGTCTCCATTGTAATTCCTTTCTTTGGTTTAACCAATTATATATTAAGGATTTATCAGGTATCCCCACAAAGGAACTACAATGGAGACTATAGGTAACCCCTAAACACTAAACCCAAAACCTAAACCAAAAAGCCCAAAACCCTAAACCCCAAACCCTAAACAGCAGGGTTTGGTTGGGTAGACGGCGTCAGCCCGCATCCAACCGGAGGGGAGTTCGTGTAAATGCTCCCGACTCAAGTGCAGGTTGTCAAAGAACTCCCTAAACCCTAAACCCTAAACCCTAAACCCTAAAATCCTAAAGTGAAAAAAGCCCTAGACCCTAAGGGGCCCTAAGGTCCCTAAGGCCCTAAAGTCCCGTTAAAAACCCTACATCCTAGACCCTAAACCCTAAACCTTAAGGGCCCTAAAGGCCCTTATAAACCCTGAAGATTCAAATCCAACCGCACAGCAGAGACGGGAAGAAGCTGCAGGAGGTCGCCAGAGTCATCGTTCCACGGTCCCGCTTCGTGGCCCAAGCCCTGTGGGAACTCAGTTCCGTGGACGTAGCACTAGGGTGTTATCGGTTTGAGAGCACGACGAGCCTTTCGAAGGGAGGCAGGCGCCGGAGAGAAGGCGAGCTTTGGAGACGACGTGCTCAGAAAATCAAGTTTGCTTCATGGCTTCCTTGCAACAAATCCCCAGCCCAAACCTTTCGAAAGCCTCTACACACTAAACCCCAAGCCCTGAAACCTAAAGCCCAAGCCCTGAAACCTCAGCCCTAAACCCTAAGCCCTGAAACCTAAACCCTAAATCCTAAACTCTACACCCTAAGCCCTGAAACCTAGAGCATCGAAGTTCGAAACTTGAGACCCGCAGCTTTTAGCCCTGACGACCCCTTTCACGGCCGGTTGCTTGCAGATCCATCGCGAAGATATCCCCGACTTCTTTAGGGTTTAGGGTATAGGGTTTTGGGCTTCGGGTTTAGGGTTTGGGGTTTAGGGCTTAGGGCTTTGGGTTTAGGTTTGGTAAGAGTTTGGAACTTAGGTTTTATAGGGGCTTTCGAATGTTTCGGTTATTTAGATGGGGGCGGCAAGAGCATACAAGACGGGGTCGGAGTCATCTTTGTACTCGTGCAAGTGCTGCCCTAAACCCTAAACCCCTAAACCCCTAAACCCCTAAACCCTAAACCCCTAAACCCTAAACCCGAAACCCCTAAACCCCTAAACCCCTAAACCCCTAAACCCTAAACCGCCCATCGCGAGAGGACTGGTACACTGCCAACATGAGCCCGGCGACCGCCGGGCTTGCCACATCGTTGTTTCGACGCTGCTTGGGCAGATACTTAGGGGTACTTAGAAATAATTTTTAATCTTTGGTTATTATAAACCCGAAGAAGCAGCTAAAATTTTAATTTTTGCTAGGGGTCTAAGTTCAGTATAGGATACAGGTAGCTATTTACGTTGAGGCCCAATGTAGGAATGTAGGGTTTCGTTCACCGGGGCCCGGGGCGTTGGCAGATTTTGAGTTTGGGGGTCTCTCGCAGTGTCCATCGGGTTACTCAGTGTACTTAGACTGTTTTTGAGAGGAGGCCGGCTTAGACAAGACAGACCTGAAACAATTTTGAAGGTATAGGGTTTGGGTAGAAGCAAGGACAGACGAACCCCTAGACTTGCGATTTGAGTAGCTAATGGGCTAGTGGTGTGTTTCGGCAAGGCTCCATGCCATCGTAAATTTGATCTGCCTCCCCAGCCATACACTTTGGCTCAAGTTCCGACGTCTGAGAAGGGGTAACTTGTGGCATCGAAATAATTTTCGTGGATATGTGTATGTAGAGACAAAGTAGAGATGTGAATGTATGTGTATATAACAGTATGTATGTGTGTGTATGCATGTGTGTATATATATATATACATATACATATATAACATGTGTATATATATATATAATTATATGGAACTATATGTATGTGTATACATATTTACATAGACAATTATCGATATACATATTCGCTTATATATGTAAGCAGAGAGATATAGAGAGATAGCGTGTGTATGTACATACATACTACTTACCTGCATATATGTGTTCTATATATATATATATGTATATCCATATGTGTGTGTGTGTGTGTTAGTATATACATGTGTATATATATATATATGTCTGTCTATCTGTTTGTGTGACTGCGTGTCTGTGTGACTCTGTGTCTGTGGGTGTTTGTATGTACGTGACAGTGACAGAGACCCCTTCAACCCTAAAGCCTAAGCCCAAGAGCTAAGCTTCTCCACGCTCAAAGCCCCAGCCCCAAAACTCTCCCACCCCACTGTGGTTTAGGGCTTAGGGCGTTTAGGGTTCTGGGTTTAGGGTTAAGGGTTTAGGGTTCTGGGTTCAGGGTTTAGGGTTTAGAGCGTTCAGGGTTTAGGGTTAAGGGTTCAGGGTTTAAAGGATCCACACCCTAAACCCTAAACCCTAAACCATCAGGACTCGAAAAGCCCCTAAAATGCATCAGTTCCAGGCAGCCAAATCTAGCATGCCTTAAACCCGCAGTCCCGATCTCCCAAGACCCGACCCAATTAAAAAACAATCGAGGGCCTCAATAATTACCTATGCTATTCTGGAGGCTCCTTATTACAATTCTAGTAGAATGAACGGGCCCCAAAAGCCTATTCTAATTATTAAGGCCCCTACATTAAAGTCCCTAAAGATGAAGACCAACATCGCAATCCAGCCGAACATTAGATCTCCATGCCCCACCCCCCCCGTCAGACGCCTCAAGTTCTTTTCAGTCTTATAGAAACCAATCAATAAAACCTAAAACCTAAAACCTAAAACCTGTACAACCTAAACCCTAAAACCGATAAAGCCTAAACCCTAAAACCTAACAAACCTAAACCCTAAAGCCTAAAACCTAAACCCTAAAACCTATAAGCCCCAAACCCTAAACCCTAAACCCCAAACCCCTATCAACCCTAAACCGTAAACCCAAAACCCAACCCTTATCAACCCTAAACCCCAAACCTCAAACAAGACCCCAACCCCTATCAACCCTAAACCCCAAACCCCAACCCCCTATAAACTCTAAACCCTAAACAACCCCAACCCTCCCAAAAAAACCCTAAACTCCAAACCCCAAACCCAAACCCCCTATCAACCCTAAACCCTAAACC